TTGTTGACACTGCGTCTACACAAGCCAACACCACGTCTTACACCCCATGTGCGTGTGCGTATGTGTGCAGGGCATCTCGTTTCCAGAGTTTGCCGAGCGCATGGCCGCACAGCTCGCCGTCGGCCTCGCCGACAACTGGAGCCAAGTACGTCAGCCAGTTCATGTGTGTGTGTGTGTGTGTCGACAATGTGCACATGTGCCGTGGTGCATGTGGTCACCCTTGTGTGTCCTCTTTGCACTGCTTATCCATCCACCATGACCAACCTCCCCCCTCCGTTCCCCCCTGGATCTCCTGTGTACCAGGTGCGCATGGCCTCGTCTGTCGCCACGCGCAACTTCGTCCTCGGCATGAAGACGGAGACGCGTGAGCAGTTCCTGCCACTCCTCGTCCCGCGCATGTGCCTCAACAGGTGCCGTCTACATGTTTGTTTGTTTGTTTGTTTGTTTGTATGCGCGCGTTTGTTTCGTGCTTGTCTGTTGTCAGTGTCCTTCATGTGTTTCGCGCTCACTCATCTGTTGTTATGCCACCCATCCTGTATCCTACCATTCCACCCCTTCCAACCTATCACCACCTCCCTGCTCCAACCATCATCGTCACCACCACGGTTGCGCACAGGTACTATGTTGCTGAGGGCGTGAAGCTGTACTCGCAGGAGTCGTGGCGCCTTCTCTCATCCGGCAGCGGCAAGGCCCTCGTCGAGAAGTACATCGACCAGACGGTACGCACACACACACACACATACACACACACGCTTGTTCAGATGCCGTTGTGGGCTGTTGCTTAGCCGATTCAAACCCGCGCTCACCCATCACAACAAACAAACATACACACACCATCACGACATACGCAATACACAAACACATCATCACGACACATGCACACACACATACATATTTATATACAGGTTGCATTCTACATTGAGCAAAGCCAGGCGGACAACCACGCTGTGCGCGAGGCAGCGTGCGCGTGCATCGCTGAGCTTGGCAACAAGGTCGACAAGGACGTCGTTCGCGCGCATGTGCCGGCGCTGCTGGACTGCCTCTACGAGAGCTTTCAGGACGAGAGCTGGCCCGTCCGCGACGGTACGTGTGTGTGTGTGTGTGTGTGTGTGTGTGTGTGTGTGTGTGTGTGTGGAAAATGAGTGATTGAGTATGATTGTGATGGTGAGGCGATAACAGTTGCCTGTGTACACACTCCCATTTTTCTCTCGCATTGCTTCTGTATGCGCTTGTGCTTGCTCGCTTTCCATCCACATCCTTCCTCGACCTCACCTCCGCTTATTGCTGGACATGTGCAGCGGCGTGTGTTGCCAGCGGCCGCTTTATGGGCTGCTTCAAGGAGGAGAGCAGGTAAAGTCGCACAGATACGCACCACGCACACATACAGCCATTGCGACTGTCGATTGCATTGCATTGCATCCACCCCATCCCCCTGTTCCAACAACGCTCATCATTGCACTCCACCACCCCCGCCACCACCACCACTACACCGCACGATACACCATGTGCCTGCACCACATGCCTGAACCACGTGCCTGAACCACGTGCCTGCAGGCCACAACTCGACAAGTTCCTTGATCTGTTTGTGCGCCACGTCGGCGACAACATCTGGTCCGTCCGCGAAGACGCCGCCGTCGCACTCGCACTCGTCACCAGGAACTTTGGTCCGCACACCCTGTTTCAGTTGGGGTTTGGTTTGGGTTTGCGTTTTGGTTGTGTTGGTCGTTTGCAGCGTGTGTCTGTCTGTTGCTGTGAGCGCTTGCGTCCCCCGCACTCACTCTCAACATCACCACCACATGTGCACTAACAACTGCGCGTGCGCGTGTGCGTGTGTGTGTGTGCGTGCGTGCGTGTGTGTGTGTGTGTGTGCAGAGGAGGATGTGCTTGATCGCGTGTTTGCAAAGCTGGAGGAAATGCTGCCATCCGCAAAGGACCAGAGCGAAGATTCAAAGATGTCGGTGCCATGTGTGCCACACGTAGATTTGCTTGCGCGTGTGTACGTGTGTTTGATTCGTGTGTTTGCTTGCTCGCATCAAAACACAGAGTCGTAGCTGTCTGATCATTCTTCCATCCCTACGCTAACCTTCGGCACCACCACCATTATCGTCATCGTGGTGGCCATGATCTCAGGAACTCGCAGCTCGAGAACGTGACGCGCTTCGGTGTTGCCAAACCAGGTCACCCGCCATGTGCTGTGTGCTGTTTGTTTATGTGCTGTATTTTTTTTGTGTGTGCTTGATTGGATTGTGTGTGTGTGTGTGTGTGTGTGTGTTGTGATAGATAGCTCGCTGTTGTCATCACATTCTCACACTTGTGGATGAATGGATGAATGCAGCCGGTATTGTGACCGTCTCTGCAACAGACGTCATCGACCCGGCGCACACGGACCAGCAGGTACGAACAACAACACGCTCTCATCCACACACATGTGTTCACACGCACGCACGTGTTCATTCACACTCATGTTCACACACACACACACACACACACACACACACACACACACACACACACACACACACACACACACACACACACACACACACACACACACACACACGTATACAGATGTACTCGTGCGGGTCGCTTGCACCCAAGCTGAAGCGCAGCGGCGGATGCATGAACTGCGGATTCCAGCGCCCACAGGAGAAGTGGGAGCTCTCGGACGGGTACGCGCTGCGTTGCAGACAACAGATGCGTGTGTGTGTGTGTGTGTGTGTGTGTGTGTGTGTGTGTGTGTGTGTGTGTGTGTGTGTGTGTGTGTGTCTGTGTGTGTGTCTGTGTGTGTGTGTCTGTGTGTGTGTCTGTGTGTGTGTGATACGGTGCCGTTGCCGCTGCGTTTGTGTTGTATTACACATCCTACTCTGCAGACCCCATCCTCTTCGCCCGCCTCACATCGCCACCCATCACCACTATCACCAGTGCTGTGTATCTGCTGCGGGAGCTGTCTGCACCGTACCCGGCCCGCGTGACGCCGCTGTTGCCCGTGCTTGCTGAGCTCACCACCCTCCGCCACTTCCGCCACCACAGGAACCTCCTCGAAAACATCTGGAAACAGGTGGGGGTTGATTTGAATGCGCGTGGGTTGATGTGTATGTGTGTTGATTTGCGTGCGTTGATGTGCGTGGATGTGCGTGGATGTGTGTGGATTTGTGGTGAATTGCAGTCATTTGTGCTTCCCGCCTTCTGCACACACGCACACACTTGCGCACACACTCTCTCATACACACACACCACCCCCACAACATACAAACCCATCGCCACAGCTCCCCGTGATCATCAAGAACGTGAAGAAGAGTGCTGTGAAGAGCATGCTTGAGACTGTCATCCCGAGTCTCGCCTACTCCCTCGCCGACGACCACCAGCTCTCGCGTTCTGCTGCGCAGTCGTGTGTGCGTGCGTTTGCGCGGCTGCTCGGACCGTCCATCCTCCTTGGTCGCGTGGAAATGTACGTGCCGGAGAAACAGGCCCTCTTCCAGCCGTTCTGTGCATACTGATGCTCAGCACACGCACTCTTCTCTTTTGTGTGTGTGTGTTGTTGTTGTTGTTGTTGTTGTTGTTGTTGTTGTTGTTGTTGTTGTTGTTGTTGTTGTTGTTGTTGTTGTTGTTGTTGTTGTTGTTGTTGTTGTGTGTGTGTCATCATTGTTGTTGTTGCAAGTTGTGCACTCGCTGGATTGTTGATTTGTGCGATCACTGCTCGAATGTAGTTTGGCGTCATCATGATATGTGGTTTAGCGCATAAGTACACGGGAGAAGACAGGGGAAATGCACAGTCGCATCTTTCATGCACAAAGCAGGCTCATACAAGCTGAGCTATCTGATCATGTAAATACACCACAATATTTCCATTACGCACATACAAGCAACACAGTTGCACACACACACACACAATACACACGCACGCATTCCTACACAACTGCACGTGAGCACATGTGCCGCTATGTGGGGTGCGCGTGCTGGCTGTGTGCGTTGCTGCTGTGGTTGCTGCTACCGCCGCTGCTGCTGTTGTTGTTCTCCTGTGAGGAGTCGGCGAGTTGGAGATGGCACGACGCAGCAACCTCCAACTCCTCCGCGGTCGGCCGCTCCCGTGCGCGGATGTACACGGCGTCAAACAGCACCACCCGGTCGTCTCTGGTCACGTGCTCCTTCCAGGGCGGTCGCACCTGCAGCACCATGCCCGGCCTTGATATTGGTGATGGTGGGGATGGTGGTGATGGTGGTGATGGTAATGATATTGGGGGTGGTGGGATGGTGGGGATGGTGGTGATGCGGCAGTAATTGCAGTAATTGTGGCGGTGTGAGAAGAAGTTGTGGTGGGCGTGAAGAGTTGGATGTGAGGTCGAGCCAGCGCCCGTTCAAGTCGCACCGTTCACACATACACATGAACGACGTCACATGCATGTCATGCACGCAATCATGCCGCAAGCATTCAAATGCAGAACACACGACACACGACACACGACACACACACACACACGCACGCACGCACGCACGCACACACACACACACACGCACGCACGCACGCACGCACACACACACACACAGGTGACTCACGCTGGCTTGACGCGGTGCTCTGTGCGTGCGGGCATGTGCAGGAAGACGTGTGTGCGAGGAATGCCGCCAAAGAGGACATGGCACTTGCAAATTGCACAGCCGTGCTGCCGTGCAATCTGCAACACCTCCAAGCACACGTCCTCCGCAGCAGCATGCAGCGATTTCTCCTGCACACGTGCAGGATGTTTGTGTGAATGTGTGTTGTGCAAGAATGGTTTGCGGCACACACACACACACACACACACACGCACGCACACACACACACACACACACACACACACACACCACACACACACACACACACACACACACACACACACACACACTTAACTGACTGGTCGGTATATATCCTAGCGCGCAGACGGGTATACCTGCGACGTAGCCAGAAAATTGGTCGGGCCGAACTTAAAGGCGCTGTCAGATATAGAATCAAAAAGTGCGTCCTCGCAAACCGGGTGTTGAATGAGAAGACTTGGACATGCGGGTGTTGTGCTCCATTGGAGCGACCGGATGGTGATAAATCTGCCCCGAAGCTACTAGTCTTGTGTGAGAATCCTGAAAGCCTTTGTTGTGTCGACACTGGTTGATGCGGTCCATATAAGCAGTCGGCGTGTGAAGATGCCGCAATTAGTTGGTATTGGGAGTATATGCTTAGCATATATATCTTGAACATAGGAAGAGCACTGAAGAGAGCTGGGATCACATCTTCCTACCAGATCCGCATGACGCTCAAACTTCAATCTTCAAGCAAGGTCTTCAAGCGAATTGGGATTGGGTTGGCACTATGGGTCCATCGAACGGCACTGTAGCACTCACAGACACACACACACACACACACACACACGCACACATGCAAACGCACAGCCCGACCAACCCTGGAGAGCTGCTGTTGGCTGTGGAGCCAGAAGTTGAGTTCGGAGGAATGAAAGTTGAGCCGTCGCATCAACCGATCAGCGAGGCCGTTCCTGTCGTCGCCACCATTGTATTGGGAGGGGGGAGTTATCAATGCAACGCAGTGGTTGAGTGGATCGTCAAAGGGCATTGCTGTGTGAAATGGAAGAGGAGAAAGAAGGTGGGCTCGAAGAGAGCATTGTCAGCGATTTGTGTATGTGTAGCAGCACACACACACACACACACACACACACACACACACACACACACACTACCTGATGACCTTCCGCTTCTTATGGTTGCTGTCGAGGAGGGCGTGCATCTGTGCTGCCGGTGGTGGCCGGCGCGGTGTGAGCGGCTCAAGAAAGGGGATGGTCAGGCGTGCTGGTGACTCCTTTGTCATGCCTTGCTTCGTAGGCGTCGTCTCGGCACTTGGCGTCCCGCCCATTTCGCCACCAACAGCAGCATGCTGCTGTTGGTGCTGTGTTGAGTGGTGGTAATGACTTGCTTGTTGGGTGGCGGGGGATGCCGGGGTGTATGCGTGTGAAACCCCCGATTGGCTTGCTCGCCATGTGCTGTCCGCCACCTGTGATGCACCACACGTCTGCTGTTGATGCTGCTGCTGTGTGAGATGAGCGCGCTTTGGCGGCGAGGATGGCGGCGACGCAATCTCCTCCACCGCCTCAGCCATTGCCAACCTGCAGGTGTGCGTGCAAGCGTGTGTGTGCAAGTGTGTGTGCGTGTGCGAGCAAGCGTGTGTGTGCGTGCGTGCAATGTGTGTGTGTGTGCAATGTGTGTGTGTGTGTGTGTGTCAGCGTAAGTATGTTTGCAGTCGACACATGCGCATGAACATACAAAGGTGTGTGTGTGTCAGCGTAAGTATGTTTGCAGTCGACACATGCGCATGAACATACAAAGGAGAAGAAGAAGGGGAAGTTGGGTGGCGCTCGCATGCGCTGCGAACGGCCGCCACTTGGAATCGCAAACAGGTCATATGGAGACGTGATGGTGGCACTGCTTGGACCCTGACTCGCCACATTGACTGCCGTTGCTGCCGTTGCTGCAGTTGCTGCAGTTGCTGCACCGCGGGTGCTGCTGCTGCTCTGGTTTGCATGTGACCTTCGCCGTGTTGGTGGCGGCTGCAGATGGTGTGGCAAGAACGGCGCCGAGGTGGATGCGTGCATGGTGGTGACAGCAGCGTGACTCCGTCTCGCTTGCACACTGTAGCCGGCAACAGCAGCATCACCATCATCGTCATCGTCGTCATCATCATCGTCATCAAGCACTTCACCGCGGTCACGAAAGCCGCCCAGGCGCATTTGTGCTTCCGCCGCCTCTGCCGCCTCTGCTGCAGCCGTACACATGAAATCATCATCGTCAACATCATTGTCATCACCATCGTTGTCATCGTCAAACTCGCTGGTTGCATGCCGCCCGGCTTCAAACTGTGAGATCATAACACGTGCATGAGTTTGCTGTTGGCTGTGCGAGGCGAGGTCAGAGTCGGCGTCCTCGGTGTCCAGGCTCTCTGGTAGTCGTTGAGACACGCAGTGCCGCTGTGCCGGTGGAGGGGATTGCGTCAGCCCATCCACGTCCTCGTCCACGTCTTCGTCCATGGGATGGCCCTCGGGTGCCATTGTTGCGTGCGTGTGTGCCGCGTAGGCGCTGGTGGTGTTTGCATGTTCCACCATCCCCATGGGACTGTCGTCCTCCTCCACAATATCATCGTCATCCATCAACTGCTGCGTCTGTGTCAGCCCTGTATTATATGTGTGTGTTGTGGTTGGTGTGGTAGCGTGAGCGGGAATGATGTGAGCATGATGGTTTGTGCAGCGCGCCATCACAATTACACAACGACCGAACACTTGATGGCAGAAGCAGCAGCAGTGACACAGTAGCACGCACTGCGTGACAAGAGCGAGACCCACGGAGAGAGCGTTGTGATCGCGGCTGTTGTCGCCGGGATTGAATGCCACGCCTTCGCCCAGAGCCAGAGCTTGGCGGTGTGCCTCGCCCTTGCAGTAACCCTGGTTGGTTGTTTGGTTGGTTGGTTGGTTGGTTGGTTGGTTGTTTGGTTGGTTGGTTGGTGGTGAGACGAGAAACATGCACACACATGCACACACATGCACATGCACACACACACACACATGCACACACGCACAAATACACGCACACACGCACACACGCACAAATACACGCACACGCACACGCACACACACACACAAATGCACGCACACGCGCACACGCGCACATGCACGCATGCACACACATGCATACACACGCACCTGCAAACGCGTCACCAAACTCCATCCCTTCTTGCTTCTTGCGATGCGCGGGAAGCGCTTGTCTTGTATCCGTTGTTGGTGTTTGTCGTCTTCGAGTCTTCGCGCCAAGGAGCGCCTAAACGAGTCTAGACGTGCTATTAAACATGAAGATATGGCGAACTTTCTCCAAAATACCCGATATTCACTTGTTACTTTAAGCGCACAGGGGGGGCGGAGCCCCCTGGGAAAATCCGTGGGCGTGGTGGCAGCATTTCTGCGTCCGCTCGCGGACGCAGAGTTTTTCGGTGGCGCAGCCACCTTTTTCTGTCAACGTTTGCTCGACAAACTTTGCTCACATCTGCAGAATAAAAAAATTCACCAGCCAGGTACTGAAGTTGACAAGATTGTTCCTCAGCGTTTTCCCTGAGACTTGTATTGAGAGCTTTCACAGCTGAAGTAAACCTTGGTAGACAACCCACGCAGTGGTGTCGTTGGAATCGGGGACAGAAGAGAATGAACACCATGCAGTACATATCACGCATATGATAGAGGAAGAGGGTACACGTATACACTATTAAAGTGACACGTGTACATTCACACATTGTGTATCAGGAGATCACCTGATAGAGAGACAAACAAAGAGGGTCTTTCACAAAGTCAGACCATGGTGAAATCATGATGTTCCCACACGTCAAGACAAAGCATTCGTTCACACTCATTCACACACACACAAACATGTCATCGGGAATTTCCGCTGACAGAAGTCAGTCGACCAACCAGTCACCTTCCAACAATTCCAACAATGATGACCGAAGGAACAACACGCACAGCACACACCACACGCCACCGTGCACGCACGCTGTTCTTCTTCTCGCTTCCTTCGTCGGAACATGTTCGCGCAAAGCTGGCTGAGATGATGTGACACAGCCAGGCAAGCACAAACCGTCCAGCACATTGAGCAGCCACGCGCGGCCCGCTTCCGAGCGACGGAACCGCACAACCCCAGCATAATCAAGTCTGCATGCTTTTGGGGAGCGACCACGGCAGTGCTTTGTCGGAACGTGTTCAAGCAGCTGGCAAGCAAGCAGGCAACTGTGTGCACTGTCTTCCGCGACGCCGCAGACATGACAGCTGTGGGAGCGCCCGGTTGGGCGACGCGCTTCGCCTGCGCCTGCGCTTCCCTTTGCGCAAACACGTTTGTGTGGCCCTGCTCCGCCTGAAGCTGCGGCGCCGTGAAGATGTCAGGCCGTCGAACTCAGCGCTGCCGGTGTTGTGGAAACCCCGGTCACAACGCACGGACGTGCCCCTTGGTGAGAAGGCGGGCAACGCCACGCGAGGCGCTCCGGGATCCAAGCTGTGGCAATGGTGACGGCGAGCCCCCTCGCCAGCGTGCACGCACCACTCATCCTCAGCCACAGCAACGCCAACAACAACCACAACAACCACAACAGCAGCAGCAACTGGGGAATCGGGCTCCAAGCTGTGGCCATGGTGACGGCGAGCCCCCTCGCCAGCGTGCACGCACCACTCATCCTCAGCCACAACAACGCCAACAACAACCACAACAGCAGCAGCAGCAGCAGCCGCCGTCGCGTGCAGGTCGGACTCGAGAGCGGCGGTGTGGCCGCGGCGGACAAACCGGTCACACGGTCACGACCTGCTCGCTGTCTGCGAACCGCATGGACGACGTGCATCTCCTGCCGCCCCTGACACGAGAGTGCCCTTATTGCGGTGCGCTGCTGTTCGATGGCCAGCGCCGCGAGGACGGCAGTGAGACCAGCTCCTTCTGCTGTGGCAACGGCCGCGTTCATCTCGAACCCATGCCAGCACCACCGGCGCCGCTGCGACAGCTCTGGGAGGACCGTGGCGAGCGTGGTCGCATCTTCTATGACTACATCCGCCTCTTCAACAATGCCCTCGCCCTGGCTTCTGCGCGAGCGTCGTGGGTGAGGGCGGAGCGTGGGTGGAACCCACACCTCATCATACAGGGGAGCCTTCATCACTGCATCGGGTCGCTGCTGCCTGCCGAGGGCGAGGAGCCGCAGTTTGCGCAGGTGTACGTGTACGACAACGTCGGCCAGGCAACTGCGCGCCGCCTGCTCGACATGCGACAGCGGATCGCGGCTGGGACGAGCGTGCCCGATTCCATCTGCGCGAACATCCTCACCACGCTCCATGACATGTTGGTGGACTGCAACCCATACGTCGACGCCTTTCGTGATGCCGCCTCGGCCGCGCTCGCGTCTTCGGGCGATGATGCTGTGCCGGACCTGCAGTTGGTGCTCAACTCCGAGAACAGGCCCGCCGATCAGCACGCGCGCCGCTACACGTCGGGCAACTCCGAGGAGGTGGCCCTGCTGTGTCCGGATGACCAGGTTGCACGGCGGGACCTGGTCGTGTACCCGAGGGACGGCGGCATTCAGTTCATCAACGAGACACACCAGGCCTGGGACCCGCTTCACTTTGTGTTGCTGTTTCCCGATGGCACACCGGGGTGGAGGATTGGCGTGCCTCTGCGTGTCCCGCCGTCGCTGGGTGGTGATCAACGCCGCCCGGATCAGTGTGGTGGTGCTGTCGTCGATGCAGAGGACGTCATGGGGCTCGGCGGCGATGGCTCGGCCGCCCGTCACGTGAGCACTCGGCAGTTCTACGTGTACCACCTGATGCAGAGGTCGCAGTGCAACTACCTGCTGCGTGCCGGGCGGCTGACGCAGGAGTACATTTGCTCGGCGTTCTACCGCGTGGAGTACCTGCGGCTCCTGTACGTTCGCCAGCATCAGGCAGAGCTTCGCTCCGCCATCTACCAGAACTTGGTGGACCACTCCGGGGAGGATGACGCAGACGAGCAGCAGCTTGGGCGCCGGGTTGTCCTGCCATCCAGCTTCCTTGGAGGACAACGGCACACCAAGGAGCGCTTCCATGACGCCATGGCCATCCTTGGCGAATACGGTGCGCGCGCGCCTGTATGTGTGTGTGTGTGTATGTGTGTGTGTGTGTGTTGTCGTTTGTTCGCGTGTATCGATGCATGTGTGGTGATTTGCGTGCGCGCGCTGTGTGCCCACTAACGTGTGCGTTGCGTTCTGTGTGCGGTGGCATGTGCAGGGAAGCCCGACCTGTTTGTGACATTCACGTGCAACCCGGCATGGCCTGAAATCACCCGTGAGTTAAGGGGTCACGAGCGCGCATCCGATCGCCCTGACCTCCTGGCACGCGTCTTCCATGCCAAGCTGGCAGCCTTCCGCATCGACCTTGAGCACGGCCACGTTTTCGGGCCCACCCGCGCGTTCCTGTATGCGATTGATTTTCAGATGCGCGGGTTGCCCCATGCGCATTGCTTGGTGTGGTGTGCCCAGCCCTTGCAGGGGCCGTCGGACATCGACCGCTTCATTTCAGCGGAGATTCCCGACCCCGCCACCGACGCGACACTGCACGCCTTGGTGACGCTGTTCTTTGCTTCACCGCTGCCCCATGTCGCCGATGTCGTGTATACTGAGGCGCTTGGCGCTCCCCCCCCCCTGCCCGCTGCGTCACAACCACAACAACAACAACAACAACAACAACAACAACAACAACAACAACAACAACAACCACAACAACAACCACAACAACAACAACGACGACGACGACGACGACGACGACGACAACAACAACAACAACAACAACAACAACAACAACAACAACAACAACAACAACAACAACAACAACAACAACAACAACAACCTGCCCCTTGCTGGACCCGTTGGTTTTCCCACGACATGACGGTGTGGCCACCCACGAACATTAACCGGGCACATGTGACGTTCTCCTGGCTGTACATGCCCCTCATAACGGACGCTCTCTCGCCGGGCGGGAGGGGCCCTTTTCCTTTCCCGCGCCCTTCTGGCGTATGGAACCAGGTGGTCGCATCTCTGGCAGCGGTGTTCGCTGCAAACGGCATCACCACTGACACCCTTACCTACGATGGCCCCTGGCACATCCCCGCAGATGACCAGGAGCGCCTTGCGCTGCTCGCGGGCGTGGATACATACAACCTCATCGCTTCCATTGCCTTGCAGCACGCTCCCAACGCATTCCCACGCCTCACTGTTGGCGAGTAACCAACCACATCGCCCCTGTTCCAGCACGTGTTACACGACGTGCTACATCTTCTGTTGTCCGTCATGTCTGTCATGTCATGTCACAACATCACACTGCCATCCATTGCATTTGTGCATCAAATCCTGTCCACCACCTCATAAAACAATGCCAGCGAAGCGGCATAAAAAGTCGTTGCACACTTGTTTATTATTCTTCTTGTTTGTGTGCGACGACACGACGGGTTGTCCTTTCTCTCTCAGCGCAACCCGTTCCTCTTGTTGCTGCCTCTTCCCTTATGCCCACGCAGCAGCCGTGAACAAACAAACCAAACAGCAACAACACAGCGACAACAACAGAAGCAACAACGGGCAACAACATTCCATTGCAGGGAAGGACAGGCAGGCACACGCACGCACGCACAACAGCAGCGATTGTGTGCACGACGGCATTGGACAAGAACAAGGAACACCAGCAGTAGATCTGTCGCTTGAACGCGGCCAGAGACCGTGTTCACACGCAAACAAGCGCGCGCACGCACACGCACATTGTGTGCTTGGACAAGACAAGGAACGAGGAGGGTGCTGGCAGCGGCATGACGGCTGCCTGTCGTGTGTCGCGCCGTTCACAGCGGCGCTGGCACGCGATGCCGGCAGCAAAGCTACTGCTGGTGATGGGTGGCACACTGCTGGTCGCCGGCTTGCTCTGTGCCACGATCCCACAACCAGCAGCCGCTGCGCCGGTGCCAACGCAAGCTTCCAACGCAACCTCTTCTTCTCTCTCACCCTCAACAGCAACAACAACAACAACAACAACAACAACAACAACAACAACAACAACAACAACTACAACAACAACTACAACTACAACTACAACAACTACAACGGCGAGGACCGTGCTTCCTACGGACGATGATGACGACCACAGCCATGGCCACGGCCAACACAATGGGAATGAAACCGGTGCACACTCGTCCTCATCATCAGCTTCCCACTCGGCGTCACCGTCTGCGGCAACAACAGCAAACGCTTCTGCGCACGCGACCCCGCCTGCTGCAATCACAAGCCCAGGGCCATGCTCATGTCCAAGTGAGTGCGCAACGCATGCATGGTTGTTTGGTTTTCTGCACTGGATGTTGCTCGCTGTGTCAAACACACATACACACATAGGCATACACTGGACCGCACTGCATTGTGTTGCCCACACTCGGCTGACATGTCCCTTGTCCTTGACCTGCAGACTCTTCATCGCAGAGCAAGAGCACTGCAAAGACCATCATCATCTCAGGTGTGTGTGTGCGTGCGTGTGTGTGCGTGTGTGTGTGTGTGTGTGTGTGTGTGCGTGTGTGTGCGTGCGTGTGTGTGTTTGGCTGTCAACCTTACTCTCCTCACGCACCTCTTCACGTTTGTTGCTTCCTTTCGTTGCAGTCACTGTGCTGATTGGGTTGCTGGTATTGGCCTTCATCACAATCAAGACTGTCAGCATGCGCACCGCCAACCGCACTCAGCCCATGCAAGACGACGACGGCGAGCAGGACAGGTGTGTGTGTGTGTTTGTTTGTGCGTGTGTTTGTTTGTGTGTCTGTGTTTGTGTGTGTGTGTGTGTGTGTGTGCGTGCGTGTGTGTGTGTCTGTGTGCGTGTGGTGTGGTGTGTGTGGTGTGTGTGCGTGTGTTTCACTGTGACACGGATCATGCAAATGGCGGTCATGGGCGTGTGCCTGTGCAACAATGCGACTCTCTCCCCCCTCGCCTCCCCTCTCCTCGCCTGCCTCCTGTCCGCGATGCCAATCTCACACCACCGTACCCTTGATCATCACCCCACAGACCGAACCCGTTTGCGCTGAACCCCGAGGGCTACTGCGAGCTGCATGTCATGCTCGAGGAGGGCCGCGAAGACGAGTTCATCCAGTGCATTCGCAGCGCTCTCGCAAGCCTGGTGCGCACCCTGTATGTATGTATGTGTGATGCTTTTGCTTGCACTGTTCCACACCCCTTTCATATTAACACGAACACGCATGCATACACGCATACACACACGCATACACACACTCCCCCTCTCTGTGCTTGTTCATGTATGCAGGAGGTTGATCGCTTCCACGAGAACAGCAAGCGCAGCTCCATCGTGGACATGTGCGACCGCTTTGGAAAGCCTCTCATCACATGGGCCATCTCCTGTGAACGCTACCACGCCGCAAGGTTCGATGCTCGCACATGTGTGTGTGTGTGTGTGTGTGTGTGTGTGTGTGTGTGTACTACATGCTTGTCGATGACTTACCGTGTTTCGACGACTGGGTTTCTTGTGCCCGCTGATGTTGAAGTTGCATTACTCTCCTCTCCTCACGTCCACATCCCCCCCCGGGTCATTCCCGCCCCTCTTTGCCAAATCTCCCTCCTCCTCCTTCCTCCTCTTGTCTCCCCCCCCCCCCACGTGCCTCTTCCTGTGCAAACCACGCCAGATTCCTGATTGACCGCGGGTGCAACGTCAACCTGCCCGACATGCACGGGTTCACACCCCTGCACACGGCGTGTCTCAACAGCACGCCTCCCGCTGTTGTGGCGCAGCTGCTGCTGGACAACAACGCCAACATCGACGCGGTGGACCACAGGGGCCGCACATGCATTGCCACGGTCGCCGCAACAGGAAACTACCACCTCGTGAGTTGCACAGGGTTGTTGTTGTTGTTGTTGTTGTTGTTGTTGTTGTTGTTGTTGTTGTTATTGTTGTTGTTGTTGTTGTTGTTGTTGTTGTTGTTGTTGTTGTTGTTGTTGTTGTTGTTGTTGTTGTTGTTGTTGTTGTTGTTGTTGTTGTTGTTGTTGTTGTTGTTGTTGTTGTTGTTGTTGTTGTTGTTGTTGTTGTTGTGCACAAGTTACTGTTCTCATGCTGACGCTTGTGCTTGTGCAGGCGAGTCTTTTGCTGGAGCGCAAGGCCGACCTGAACCAGGCAGATTTCATGGTGAGCTATGCACGTACTCGCCTGAGAACACCCCGCGCACACGCACGCACACACATACAGCGGATGCATACTTGTCCACCCACACACACACACACACTCTCTCTCTCACCACCACCACCATGATGGCCAGGGCGTGACACCGCTGCTTGCCGCTGCTGCCAACGGCCACGCGAGCATTGTGGAACTCATTGTCACGAAGCGGAACTCATCCGTCGCCATGCGCGACAACGCGGGTGTGTGCCTGTGTGTGTGTGTGTGTCTGTGTCTGCGTGCTCCCTTGCACACTTGCATATGTGTACCATTGCATGTGTGTGCGATCATCTTGGCCCATTGCATGCCTCTCATCCTGCACCCGCGCGCGTGTGTGTCCACTCTTCGCCCTGCGTCCTCTTCAGGCAACTCCGCCCTGCACTGGGCATGCCGCGTTGGCGCAGAGGAATGCGTCAACGTTCTCCTCAACGGTGTGTGTGCGTGTGTGTGTGTGCGTGTGTGCGTGCGTGCGTGCGTGTGTGTGTGTGTGTGTGTGTGTGTGTGTGTGTGTGTGCTTGTACTCGCTTCCCCATTTGCTCCCTCCTTCGCCTCATGTCCCACTCTTCTTCTCCTCATACACACACACTCACTCACACACTCACACACGCACACACGCACACACACACATACGCGCGTATTCACGCATCCCCCAACGCGTTTGCTTTGCAGCTCACAAAGTGAGCATCACGGCGGTGAACAACAACCACGAGAACGCACTGCACCTCGCAGCCAAGGAAGGCAACACCAGCATTGTCAGGTACGAACACCAAACACACACACACACACACATGCGCACGCACGCACGCACACACACACATGCACATACGCACGCACACACTTTCAGTCCTTCACACCCTCTCGCCCTTCCCCTTCCCGCCCCCCTTCGCGTCCATCCTTCGCCCCCTTCCCTCATAGCTTCCCCCTGTTCATCCACCAACACCACATCATGTGTGTGCAGGGAGCTGTTGTACCACCGCATTGACCGCCGCGGGACAATGCAGGCCAAGTGCATCAAAGATGTGCGGGAGATGGTCACCCACCTCTCAAACGCAATGTACGCACCGGCTCACGGCTTGTGTGTGTGTGTGTGTGTGTGTGTGTGTGTGTGTGTGCCTGTGTCTGTGTCTGTGTGTCTGTGTGCGTGTGTTTTCCTTGAGAAAGGGCAGGTTGTCTGCGCGTGCATCGCACTTTGTGTGTTCAGATGAGTCTGCATCCCCCTGTGTTCAGTCAGCTCACACACCAGCACAACGACAACGCTTGTCTCTCTCTCTCTCTCTCTCTCTCGTCCACCCGCTTCCCCCACTCCCTCTATTTCCCCAGGGAGCTGCCGGTGCACTATGCACGCAAAAACAACCACTCGGACATTGTCGATGTGATTGACGCGTGGCAGCGAAAGTACATCCCATCAGCGGATACAGGCAGCTCCGTGTCAACATCCCCTGCACCTGCCAGACGCAAGGGCCGCCGCAGCAAGGCCTCGTCCCCTGCCAAGGTGCGACAGCGCCGCAAACAACAACAACAGCAACAGCCACTGGGGCGGGTGAAGGAGGAAGAAGTGATTGAGCTGCCGCCTGTTCGTCGCTCGTCGTCGTCGTCGTCACGACGCGGCCACCACCGCTCCGGGTCGCGGTCCCGTTCGCACTCGCGATCCAGTTCCCGTTCCCGTTCCCGCCACCGCACGGCCAGCGGCGCTGTTGGCACAATAGGGCGGCGCAAGACCCTGGCCACCGCCACGGCATCCAACACCACGCGGGCGAGCGCGCGTGCAAACTCGCTCGGTGGCGATAACGACACGCTGGTTGGTGCTGGGCTCGCGCCACGCAGGCGCTGCCGTACAAGCACGGCGGCGACAGGGCTGACGCGGGTTGGGGGCATGGCAAGCGTTCCGGAGATGGTGGGTGAGGACGTGAACGTGTTTGAAGGGGATGATGGCGCCGGTGGTGAGCGCGTTGTGCTGCCTGGTGCCGTTGTTGCTTCTACTGCTGCTTCTACTGCTGCAACTACTACTACTGCTGCTGCTGCTGGCACGACAGGCCCGTCACCACCACCGTCGTCGTCATCGTCGTCATCAACATCATCGCTGCACATACGTGCGCGCACGGGCTCCATGAGCATGTTGGTGGAGGAGGACGAGGAGGATGACCACGACCACGACCACGCTCGTGATGACACGCATGATGATGTCGATCACGAGGACGGTCACGCTACAGCGGCATCAGCCTCAACCCCGGCCGGCTCAGACAAGAGCAGCAGCCGTGGCAGCCGTGGCAGCAGTCGTGGTGAACGCACGGGGCATCGTGGTCGGCGAACAAACACGCGCGGCAGTGATGGTGGCCATGGCACCGATGGTCGTGGTGGACTCGGTACCCGCCGCCACGCCGCCAGCGCCAGCCCCACGGGCACGCACAACCCGCGCAAGCGTGCAAACAGGACGCCCAGCACACTGTCATCCACAGCTGCGGCCACAGCGGCTTCGGCCATGATGGCAACCACCTCCTTCTCAACTATGGGCACCAGCGACAGTGCCTGCAAGCAACCGGAGCCAGTGCTGCCCCCACGTCGTCGCCTGCCGCCGCCACTGGTACGTCGACAGTCTGGTGGACGAACGGTTGCCGCGGCCCCAGGATCACTACCGCCACCGCCACAACCCCCATCATCATCATCATCATCATCATCATCATCATCATCCACAACCACAGCACAGCGTGCTGGTGCTAGCCACGCGTGGACCAACAACAGCGCAACACTGCACGCGCCCAACGACGTGGATAATGGTGGTGGCCTGCCTCTTGACCTGTTTGCTGCCGTGAGTCGGGCAGATGAGCCGAGCACAACGGCTGCGTGTGGGGTTGGTGCTGCGCTGATGGCTGTGGATGGCCACGCTGATGACGGCATGCACGCTCACGCCGGTGACGTGCAGGCGCAACCGCACTTCAAGCTGCGCTCGTACAACCGTCGCCGCACCCACGGCCGCCACCGCACGCCATACCACGTGTACCAGGAGCGACGCCTGCCCACGCTTGACGAGCACCCACACGCGCGCACATGGATGGACGAGGAACACCCCGGAACCGCCCAGCAGCTGTCGTCAACACATGTGCCGGGCATGTGGGATGAGGTGGACTTTGCAATGCCGCCGCTGCACCAAGACGGAAAGGGCGCACAGGCGGTGCACATTGATTTTGGGCACAGCAGCCACCACCTCGGTGACGACGACCACGACTACGACTTTGGTGATGCGCAGGATGCGGAGGGCTACACGTCGGCCGCGTATGCGCAGCTGTTTGCAAAGCACGATGAGAGCGAGCCGTTTATGCCAAGCACGCCCTCGATGCTGCTGGAACCAACAACAGCAACAACCACAGCAGCAGTGGCAGGGGGCTTGGGCGCTGGCGATGGTGGTGCAGACGACTTTGACGCGTTTATGAGCGGCCGCAGCCCTGGGCAGGCGAGCCGCGGCAGCAGAGGAAGCAGCAGCACCGGTGGCGTTGGCCGCACGCCCGGCTCGGAGGACGGTTCGGAGAACCTCAGTCATGACGCAATGCAGCCTGGCCAGGCTGGCGGCATGCACGCGTTTGACACGGGCGTGTTCAGTGACACGTGGCGCAGCAGCGAGCGGCAGCGGTACACGTCGCCTGCCGAGATGGACCACCCGGCATTCACCAACCCAAACGTCGACTACGACAACGTGCAGGAGATGCTACACCACCAACTGCAGGGCGTGGGGGACTTTGACGACGCACACGAGTACGATCGCGCAACCGACCTCCCTGACGCTGATGACGTGGATGGTGCTGGTGGCGGCAGGAGGCTGGCTGGCCCACGATCGAATGGCGAAGTCAATGACGATGACGATGATCACGACGACGATGACGATGACGATGATGATGATGATGATGATGATGATGGTGATGGTGATAATGGTGGTGGTGGTGATTACGAGCGCATTTCCAACCTGCCCCTGCCAGATGCGTTTGCCAACCCGGATGCAGCACCGCCACACCACCGGGGCCACAGTGAGGCCGCCTTCACGTCATCTGCTGATTCCGTGACGAGCCTGCCCGATCTCCACCTCACCCCGCACGAGCGCGCACACCTCTCCTCGGCCATCAGCCCAGGCACCAGCGCAACCGGGCCCACGCCAGCGGCCATGATGGCGACAAAGCCAGGTCGCCAGGCTGGTGGCGTAAGGCTGCATCGTGACATGTCGCTCAGCCCGCACCCGCGCACGAGTGATTCGGGTGCAGAGACAGCGGACAGCGCGTCGTGGAGCCAGGGTGCCCGCACACCGAGCAGACCCTCGTCGTCATCCAAGGCCGTGCGTGATGGAAGCGGCCGTGGTCGCCGCGGCAGTGGCGTCGTCGGTGCCGCTGGCGAGCGTGTGAGGCGTGTGTCAGAGCTGTATGACGACGATGATGATGACGATGATGATCGCCATCACAACAACGACAGCGGTGACATTCGCGCCCGCGGCGCTGGTCGTGGCGTTCCTGGCCCTAGCGACGGCGCGCCTCGCCTGGGCGGCATGATTGTTCCTGGCGGCGCAGACTACGCCTTTGCCGGTGCCCTGGGCCTGGACGACGTGGAAGGGCCATTTGTCGGCAACCCAGGGTTCATGGCACAGCGCCAGCACGGCCAACAACAACAGCAACAGATCAAGCACGTTGTCGGCGGCCATAATGTCGCGTCCAGAACCTGAGAGCCTACGCACACGTGTGTGTGTGTGTGTGTGTGTGTGTATGTTTGTGTGTGTGTGTGTGTGTGTGTTTGTGTGTCTGTGTGTATGTGGTTTTGAGCCCATATGAGGGCGCCGAAGGAAGGGAGAGAGAAGTGTGGTTGTTCAGAGAGAATGGTCTTACCTCTTTAGAAAAAGCACGTGTGATGAGATGAGCACCGCTGCTTGGATTACTTTTTTCTATGTTGTTCCCTTGCATACATCTTGTCTGTCACATAATCACCGTTGTTTTTAAAACTTCACTCCCATTGCTTTCATGTTCGATATCTCAAAACTTGATAGCTGCCCATCTAGCCTGTTTCCTACTTTGACTTCTGCAGTGACAAGAAGGCTGCACTCATGCATGGCATGTCACCGTTGTGATTGCCAAAGATCGACGCTGTTGTTGCTTGATGGGTCTACACCAACCAGCCAACACAGCGCCTTCCATTGTTTTGTTTTTTCCATTTCCTCTGCACTTTGCCTGCTAAGGGCAGTACCGCGCGTTTACGCTGTCGCCATAGAAGCACCTCTCTCTCTCTCTCTGCCTGCCAGGTCATCATGAGTGGTGTGCTGTGACATGAGTGGGTGGGGAGAGCGCAAGGGAAGGAAGTCAACGAAGAACCAGCAAACAACAAACAACAGCACCCAGCCAGCAGCCGCTAGCAAACAACCAAACGACGAAATTCTTCAGCCAACACCACATTTTGTAGTGACGACCGCGTGCTCACACACGACAAGCAAGATGGCTGGCGAAGACGGACTCATGGTGAGCAAGCTGTCTGCTTACACGCTGTCTGCTTGCTGTCTGCTTGCTTGCTGCTTCCTTTGCATCCTTCCATTCGCTGGTACTTGCTCACACGTTCGTTCGCTGTCCCTTTGGTGTTGATCCTGCAGGAGCGGTTGGCATCGCACAACCGGTTCTTCAACGATGTCATCTCCCTGATCCCTCCAAAGTACTACCTCGCAGAAGCCGATGAAGAGCACCAGGTACGCGTGTACGTGTGGACTGCCTGAATAGCAACAAGACACACAAAAGCAGTGACACAAGCGACAACAGTCGATGTCACGGTTTCAGTGCCCGCAGCATGCTCGCCTTGTGCTCTCAGCGCGTTCGCCTCGGACTTGATTGATTGGCTACTTATCCACACACACACACACACGCACACACACACACACGCACACACACACACACGTCACTGCTTGTTTCTGCTCAGCAACGCATCGCAGCGAGGTACATGAAGAACACCAAGAACAAGGCTCCAAAGCAGGAGATCAAAGAGCGCAGCAAGAAGGCAAAGCGCGCAAAGGTGTGTGTGTGTGTGTGCGGTTGTGCGGTGATCGCGTGTAGCTGTGCTTGGGGGTTTTGTGTTGGCTGGTGATGGTTGTGTTGGGTGGTGCAAAGCAGCGAGAAGAGCAGCGAGAAGAGCAGCGAGGTGTTGCATGCATGGGGCTGAGGTGATGGCTGCTGGGCCTCACGCTCGGTCTCCACTTTTCATGCTGCAGGAGCTGGGCAAGACAGTGATTGACATTCAACAGGAGCAGCTGAAAAGCGAGGATGCGGCAGCGGAGGATGCACAGCAGCAACAACACAAGGCCTCGAAACACGGCAAGGGCGGAAAGAAGAGAGGGGCCGCATCAACACAGGATGGCAAGCAGAACGATCAGCGGCGAAAGAAGCCTTTCCTTGTGTCCCAGTCCAGCAACGTCAGCCCGCATGAGCTGCGTGCTCGCCTGGCCGTCAAGCTGCAAGAAATGAAGTACAAGCTTGTGTTATGCTGTGTTATCCTCTGTGTGTGTGTGTGTGTCTGTGTGTGTCTGCGTGTGCGTGCGCATGTGCGTGTGTGTGTGTGTGCGAGTGTTATTCTGTGTTGCTTTGGGTGCGTCTGGTTGCATCTGTGTGTCTATGTGTCTCTGTGTGTGTGTCTCTCTCCTCTGTGTGTGTGTGTGTGTGTGTGTGTGTGTGTGTGTGTGTGTGTGTCGCGTGCTGTGTTGCTCGATGTATGTGGTGCAAACACGTACACGCGTACCATGGTTTCCAGGCGTCTGCTGTTTGCACATTTCCTGATGCCCGCTGATCATCATCATGTGTGATTGTGTGTTCGTGTGCAGGGAGACACGCAAGGCAGCGGAGGAACGTGTGCAGAGAACAAAGACGACAAACAAGCGCTCGAAGCTGAAGGAGGAACGACAAAAGAAGGCGATGGTCAGGGCAACCCGGCCACAGTTCACGGGCACCGACGCAAGGAAGGGAGACGCCAAAGACAGCACACACGATGATACGGTGTGTGTGTGTGTGTGTGCGTTTGTTTGTTTGTTGTTTGTTTGTTTGTGTGTGTGTGTGTGTGTGTTTGTTTGTTGTTTGTTTGTTTGTTGATACCTTGTTTCCACGCTGCCCCAGGACACCTTCACATGAAGTCACTGGTTTCATCGCCGCCACCACCACGATGGCGACCACCACCCCTGTCATCATAATAACCATCATCGTCACCATGATTCTTTCAGGCCGCACCGCTTGCGTTCAGCAAGTTTGAGTTTGCCAACGACAACCGCAAGAAGAAGGCGAAACCAAACCCCAAGCAGCTCCTACAGATGGTGCGTGCGTGCGTGTGTCTGCGTGTTTGGTCCTGCGTGTTCCTTGCATCAACATTCCCTCCCTGCCTGTGTGCATCCGCTCATCTTCATTTGTCATCATCGTCGTCGTCACCATCATCGTCGGCATTGCAGGCCGAGCGGGAGAAGCAAGAGATTGAAGCACTCAAGGCATCGGATGCCGCAAAGGTGTGATACCGCCGTGCAATTGTGTGCGTACATGTGTGAATTTCAAGCGCTCACTGCCACATGTGCATGCGTCCGTTCACGTGCCATCTCGTACACGTACTCACCAAACACACGCGCGCACGCGCACATACTGGGCAGGCTGCTGAGGTTGTGGAGAAGAAGGGATGGGACAAGGCACTCAAGCGCGCCGAGGGCGAGAAGGTGCGGCCGTCAGTCAATGCATTGTCATCACACATGTCGCGTGCCTTGTTCGATGCCTGCTGGTGGGCTTGCTTGAGTGCACTCAGTGTTCACCATCACCACCACCGCAACAACAACAACAACAACAACAACAACAACAACAACAACAACAACAACAACAACAACAACAACAACAACAACAACAACAACAGGTGTTTGACAACCCAAAGCTGATGAAGAAGGCCATCAAGACACGCGAGCGCAAGAAGGCCAAGTCGAAGAAGACGTGGGAGGCCCGCGTCGCGGCGGTGGAGAAGGAGCAGAAGGAGAGACAGGAGAAACGGGAACGGAACTTGCAGGCTCGCAAGGACGCAAAGAAGCAGCGCAAGCTGAAGAAGGTGTGTGTGTGTGTGTGCGTGCGTGTGTGTCTGTGTGTGCCTGTGTGTCTGTGTGTGTGTGTGTGCCTGTGTGCCTGTGTGTGTGTGTGTCTGTGTGCCTGTGTGTGCCTGTGTGTGTGTGCGTGCGTGTGTGTGTCTGTGTGTCTGTGTGTGCGTGTTCACGCTATTCTCCTCTTTCCCTCCTTCTTCCTCCTCTTCTTTCTCTCCCTTTTCCTCCTCTTCTTTCTCCTCTTCCACCATGCTCCCGAGATTGCCGTCGCTCACATGTTCATGTGCAATATTGTCAACTGACGCAGATGCAGAAAAAGCGCCCTGGCTTCGAGGGCAAATAGGAGGCTGCAAGGACACGTGTGAAGAACGCACGTGACGTATTTGCAGTGCTGTCGTTGTTGTGTCTCATGATCCTGTTGCGTCCTTTGTTGTTCGTGCCCTTGTCATCACGTGTATTCAGCGCCCTTGTGTTGCGTCGTGCCCAACGATTTGCTTGCGCGGTCTCCTCTCACATAGGGTTGCCTTGTCTGTTTTCCGTGCGAGCGTTGTTTCATTTCTTCCCACCCCAAGCTTTACCATCACCTTGTCACCATACACACACCTTCCCACCTGCTCCAGCTGCCACCATCATTGATCGTGTCATGTTCCGTGCGTGGCACTGTGCTGTGCTGTGCTGTAATGAGATCCGTTTGCACCTTTGAAAGAAGACATGTCAGTCAATCGATCAATCAGTCAGCAACATCGTCACTCGCAGCTTAAAACCGGCACAGAGCGCGGAGGAAGGGAGATGGGACAAACACGACGGGACAGACGGACAACACGCGTGGTGGGGTTTATGGAAGCTGTGGGTGGTGGAACCAAAGCAACAAAGACAAGCGCGGAAGAAAGTAACTGATGTGGTGGGCTTAAACTTGAGGGGAAGAGGGAGATGGGGTTGACACGAGACAATACCGAGCAAGACACGCCCACTTGCTTGCATGCATCGCGTGGTTGTGTTGATGGCTGGCATATAAAAAACACGAGAACAACAGCAAGTGGGGAATGGGAAGGCACGGGAGGGAGACAGTTGACAGTGAGGAGCAGGAAGGGGGTGGCGGATTGGGTGCTTGGCGTCAGCTTCACTTGGTCACGAGCTCGTAAGCCTGCAGGCGATGTATGCATGCGTGTAGGTGGGGGGGGGAAGCGGGGGAAGCGGGGGAAGCGGGGATGAGCACGGCAAGCGGTGAGGGCGAGCACTACTCAAGAAACCTTCAGACATGCACCAAACAAACCACACGCACGCACGCACGCACGCACATACAGCACACGCACACGCACGCACACACACACACACACAGAGCACACGCACACACACACACATACAGCACACGCACGCACGCACACAGCACAAGGCATGTGACAACGCACGTCGAGGACAAAGTCGTCTGGGAATTCAAAGTCTGCAAGCTCCTCGTCAAGCTTTCCGGCAAAGTCATCAGCGGCCTTGGACGCCTTGGCGAGGTCGTAGATGGTGGTGGACAGCTCCTGGTCCTTGATGCCGACGTGCTGGTCAAGCAGCTCGTCAATCTTCCCAACAACAGCAGCAACCTCCGTTGTGGGCTGGATGCATGGTACGTGCGTGATGTGTGTGATGTGTGTGAGTTAAGTGCGTGAGTGTGAGTGTGGGTGAAAACACATGTGGGTGAGTGAGTACGTTCGTGAGTGCGTTTGTATTTGTCCGCGTGTGCAGTAGCAGTTGAGCATGTTCGGAGTGGATGGGCGTGCAAGAGGCAACACCACTCAAGCAGAAACAACACGGCTACGTGCGTGTGTGTGTGTGGGGAGGGGGGCGCACCTCATCCTCGACAACAGCGGTGCCGTTGCGCTTCATGCGGAGCGTCTTCTTGCCGGCGCCGGCCTTCACGTCGCCAGTGCCCGCCGCCTGTGCGCGCGGCGCAATCGCCTCTGTTGACGGTGGACAACCGGGAAGGGGGTGAGGGATGGGTCGGGTGTGGGGTGGGGTGGGATGTTTGAAGTGGTTAGAAGAGAGAGAGAGAGAGAGAGAGAGAGAGAGAGAGAGAGAGAGCGAAGGAAAGGAAGGAAAGGAAGGAAGGAAGGATGGCAAAAGCGCAGGGTGAAGAGGGGATGGTTGTAGGGTTTGAGCGACGCTTGCTCTTGATGCGTGAAGATGC